GTCGGCATTGTGGGACAAGAAATCAACTAGCTCTTGCTGCTCTTCTCTGGTCAGTCTTATACCTACTCTGGTAGTTCGTTCTGGCCTGGACTGATCGATCTGCACATCCAGAAGGGGCTCCTCAGTCAAGTCGACTGACCCCTCCACCCTGTTCTGCTCAGGCGGAGGTTCCTGTAATTGCTATCTGGGGCTTGCCGAACGGACGGGCGCCTTCCCTTTCCCAGCATGCTTTAGTGTAACGGAATAACACTCTTTGGCTGCAACCTGATCCCCCCGAATGTCTATCACTTTATCTCCATCGGGTCCGAGGCACCTCATGACCTGATGCAGAGTTGAGGGTACACCTTAGACTCTGTGAATCCATCCTCTTCCCATCAGGAGATTATACGAGGGGTGAATTTCTACAACCACAAAAGTTTCCATAAGAGCTCGTTCTGCAGCTTGAACTTCCACTTCCACCATCCCGACGGGCTCCACCCTCTTCCCATCGAACCCTAACAAGGGATTTCCAGTGGGCTTGAGCCTCTCTAGTTTAATCTCGAGCCTATTAAATGTGTCCCTTGGCATGACATTCGCACTGCTCCCAGGATCGATCAGAACTCTGCGCACCAAGCAGTCCGCTACTGTTAAACTGACTACCAACGGGTCTTCATGGGGCAGTTGAACACGCTGCAGGTCTGTCCAGTCGAACTTTATCTGCATCGATGGGCTCTGCTGGTGTAGAGTATTCACACGGCTGACCCTTTTCTTCATCTGCGCCTGCCGCAGGCGCGTCCGGAGTAGCTCATCTGACTCTTCACTAGGCTCGGGTCGACCATGGATAGCATTGATTATACGAACTGGTTGTGAATTGTGGGAGCTTTGTTTATGACTCCTTTTTATTTGTTCCACCGGTCGATTCTGCTCTATCGCCGAGCCTTGAACATAACTCGCGAACTCCCCTCTAGCTATCAACATCTCCACTTGCCTCCTCAGGTTCCTGCATTCGTTAGTCTGATGACCGAAATCGGAATGGAAAGCACAATGTTTAGTTTGATCCCTCTGTTCGAGGTGTTGCCTAATTGGCAGTGGTGGATGAAACTTATCTTTGTTTTCCTGATACAGCCTCGCCAGAGTGACCTTCAGCGGAGTAATCAGCTCTTCCTCCCTGGACCTTTTTTCTGCCTTCCAAGAGGTCTGACGTTGCGGCTGAGCCTGCTTCTGCCTGATCTTTGCCTTGGACTTTTCCTCGGTTGACACGAGCGACGCTGTCCGAGCATTAGCTGCCTCCTCTTCTTCTAGGCGCACAAAGCCATCGGCTCTTTCATTGAGTTCATCCATAGTAGTCGGCGTGTTCACTACCAGACTGGTGTGAAACGGAGTTCCACGTGTCATGGCTAACTTGAAGGCTTGAACTGCTGTAGAAGGGTGGCATTCGATCACCATACTCTTAGTGAGATTAAACCTGGTAAGAAAAGCCTGGAGACGTTCATCTTTGTGCTGCCTCATCGTGAATAGGCTCGAGATGTCCTTCGGCGGGCGCTTGTTCCCATAGTACTGGCTTATGAACCGATCGCACAGGTTTCTGAAGCTACCAATGGAGCTCCTAGGCAAGTTTTTGAACCAGCTGAGCGCCGGTCCGGCTAGGCTTGTAGGGAAACATTTGCACATTAAAGAGTCGTTTTCCGTATTCAGGGCCATTTTCAACTGGATATGGTACACATAATCGATCGGATCGGTTGTTCTGTCAAACAGAATAAAGACTGGCATAGCAAACTTCCTTGGATGCGGGGCATTCAAGATCTCGTCGGTGAATGGTGAATCAACCGTCCGAGCTGCGGATCGGAGAGCTTCATTCTCTCTCTGGAGTCCAGCGGTAGCTCTGTGAGTTACGGTTCTACCCTCCGAACCGCGATGAGTGATAGTAGCCATGGAGGGCCGGTAAGACGGATCGAACGACCGTTCCTCTATGAACTCTCTTTGCCAAGGCGACACTACTCGACGGCGATCAACCTCTATCACTTCCTCTCGGTCGAACCTTTCCCGATGCGGATCGAAGGTTATGGCTTCATTCCGTCTAATCTGCTCATGTCGCGGATCAACGTGAGTCGATCCTTCGTGATCCTCAACTCGACGAACATTTGGCGGCAAATTGTCCATCATCCTTTCATCACGGTAGTGAGCTGACTGATTGTTCTCGTCCTGTTCGCCTTGACGCGCAATATTAGATTGAACACCTCCTTCACCGACCAGAAGTGGATGCGAAACCGCAGGTATTTGCCGATGTTGCATTCCAGCTTTCAATTCTGCATTCTCTTTTTTGAGAGCTTCGATCAAGTTCATCAACTCCTCAATCTTTGTTTGCTGGACAGCCTCCATCGGATTGGAGCTTTCACCTATCATTATTCCTGAACGGAGTAAAGGCATTAATCTCAAGTTCGCGAGTAGATCCGAGCTTCGTGAGTGAGAATTTTTCAGATCTGGTTTCGAATTCTCCGAATTATGCTCACCGTTTACGAGATCTGAATTGTCTGAACTCTAAATCCGTCAGATCCTGCCACAATCGAACAACTCGTTGTTGCGTAGATCTGAAGCCACTTCTGCCAAAGCTTCAAGAATTGTAATTCCTCCAGGGTAGGTCACAATCGCTCAGATCTGGATCCAAATCCCAAAGATCGAGTCTCGATCAACCGAATTGGTCTGAATCCACTCGATATTCCTCATTGATCAACCAAACTTCCATGCGATTCCCACAGACGGCGCCAATTGAAGATGCAAGAAATTCGTACCCTCTTTCTCTCTCTAGAATTCTTACACTTCAACCCAAAAGATCCTCCTATTCTCTTCATTCCTTCCCTTATTTATAGATATTTACAAGATATTTACAAATATTGACGGATTGCTGGATCTGGGCCTGTTCCTCCATAAGTCCTGGTCACCTTTGATGGGCTTATTCGCGTTCGGCCTATATGGCAGTGTCTTTTTATGGGCCGACCCAGCTGTACGGACCGGATGTCGTGCTTGCAAATCAGATCCGGCCCATGTCGTCCTGGGCCTCCTCAGAAATGTATGATTAACTTTCTTTCAATTTTTTTTTTTTTTCTTTTCTAAGCGACTTTGAATATTGATACTAATAACGTAGTTAAAATGTAACAGTAATTGAGGGCTAGTATTGCTTAAAAATAGCAGACAAGAACACCACCATTTCTCAAATAATTGTAGACAAGTTAGTGCATTATTGAACATAGCTTTATATATCAATGCTTAGATTGTAATGGAAGTGTAAGAAATAAGGACCACTTTTGCTCAAATAATTGAAGATAAGTGCCCAATTGAAAACCCTAAGGGTTGACTTAGTTGGAAAATTTTTGGCCAGTGTCTTGTGAAGTATTAGGTCTTAAGTTCGATTTCTCTTGGGTGCAAACAATTCCTTAGGATCAGGCCCGCGGATATAATCCGAGTTTTATCCGATCGTGTTGTGGGGGATGCTTTACACGGTTCCCGTGAATTAGTAGGGATAAAGCCCAGACACTTCGGTAATGAAATAAAAAAAAAAAAAACGAAAAAAAAAAAAAACCCATGAGTTAAATTGACATTCCTACCCGACTAGACTAAGAAGATAGAAAGCTTACAAAATCCAAATGGTTCATCAATGAGACGCATGGTCATGTCATAAGCATTCCCAAATGAATACTTCACTCCTTGGAACTCAATGTTTGCAAGAAAGCCTTTGTCAAATTGTTGAAAGCTCGAGCCAAGTCGTTCAATTCCTCAAAACATCCACCATCCACATTATGCTTATGAGCACGTTGATATAGACAACATCCAATTGGCGCAACACCTACTACCCCAAATTTTCAGGCTCCCAAGTTGTATAAATTCTGCCAAATTCAATCAATGAACCCATTGTTCATAAATGCCAAATTTAATTACAAAAAGTAATTCAATGACATAAAATAGTAATAGTTTTCGTTTATTTTGTTTGGTTGAATAGAATTTTTTATTTATTTATTTTTTTTTTGAGGAGAAACAATATTACAAAATTTAACTGTATTAACATATGCTAAAGAAACATGTTGTTGAACTCATAATAATGAATTTTTAAAGTATGGTGGCGTATATAACAAAAAATATGATTTTAAAATTAAAAAAAAAAATCTTTTAGTTAAATTTACACTATTGGTCGAATTATAATAAACTCACGTATGACTTTTAATTGGTTGGGGTATTTTAGTAAAACTAATCCCACTCGATTAGTTGATGAATTTTTTGGCATATATATATACAACTGTTAAAATCATAAAACCCTCATATATTACTTTCAAATTCTGATCATAAAATCTCAACTTGTTTCAGGAAATCTTTACACTTTTAAAAAATGATCATATTGCCCCAATATCCATGACCAACCCGTTAATCGGACTATGAATTGACAAATTTAACCTTACTATTTAATGTTAAATTAAAAACTAAAAAATATTTTTAAAATTACAAAAATTATGCCCCCCCTCTCTCTCTAAAACTCTCACCCCTTTCTCTCTAAAATATATATTTTTTAATTTTAAAGGGTATTTGTGTAATTTTTAAAAATAATATTTAGTTTTTAATTTAATATTAAATAATAAGGTTAAATGTGTCATTTCATAACCCGATTAACGGGTCGGATATGAATATTAGGGCAATGTGATTACTTTTAAAATGTAGGAGTTTTCTGAAATAGGTTGGGGTCTTATGATCAAAATTTGAAAGTAGTGAGAGTTTTATGATTTTAACCCTATATTCAAAATGAGGTCAAAATGTTACAAGTTAAAGGGGTTAAATTCAATTCTCCCTTGTCTATAGACAACTCTCTCTATGACATAACTTCTTTCGCTTGAAAAATGATCGAAGTTCGAGTTTTATAGTAAGAGTAATGAGCCGAACAATCGGACAAATTCGACTTATTTTATATGAGGAGATGCTGATGTTATTATCACACTATGAATATTAATGATATCATGACGACGTTAGCCTACACTCACATAAATCAGAATTGTCTGACTTTCGAACTCCAAATCATTATGCTGATAGTAAATAGATTGTGTGACTAGTTACCTAATCAAACTAAACTAACTAAGATGTTATCATCACACTAGGAATATTAATGACATTATGATGACGTCAGCCTACACTCACATAAATCAGAATTGTCCGACTTTCGAATTTCAAATTATTATGGTGATAGTAAATATTTGTTGATTGAATTTAATATAGTAGACATTTGTCGATTGCGTGACTACTTCCCTAACCAAACTAAACTAAAAATAACCTCCCAAAAAAAAAATAATAATAAATAAAATAAAATAAAATAAAACTCCATTTATTTGCAAGGAGAGAGGTTACTGAAATTCAAACCTTCAAATGGTTGACATGTGTCATGGAGAGTGGCTAAGAATGTCTGCGGAGGGATAGCTCGCGATCGGAGGCTATGTTGATAGTCGAAGATGTCATTGCTTCCGATAGTTATGAGGTACAAGGAGTTTGAAAGCAGAGAATTTCCCTTAGATGCACCCAAAACCTCTGTGATATTCCCACAAACAGTCTCGAATTGTTTGATTTGATCTCTCAATGAGACCACATCCCACTTTTGGGTTGTGAAACACCATGCCATTGAGTTAAATATAATGTCAGTGACTCAGTGTCATGTTTGTTTCCTAGGAAAAAAAAAATAATGATAGATGACTGGATGTGTGACTAATTTTTCTTCAATCCCGGCCTCTTGCACTTTCTTAATGAACTCTTTTAATAGGAATGGCCAGAGGAATTGAAGAAACATTATTTTTTGACAAATCCTGACATATAAGGGGACTCGAATATGAGCATACTCATTTTGGGAGATGTACTTTCTACCAACTATCATCCCGACCTTAAAAAAAACTAAAAAAGAGTGAGAAAAACTTACGTATAATTGAATTCCAGTGGGATCAAGAATCCCTGCTCCCGCAGATGCAAAGTTCACTCCCCGCAGTATGTTACTCTTGAAACTGAGATTGTGTTGGAGAAGAGAGAGAAAAGGTGGTGGACTGCTATTATAACCAAACTGCTTCGCTAAGCAAATAAACACCATAAAGATAAAGATAAAAAGAAAAAAAAGAAAATAAATAAATCAGAAAGCAATAGCTATTTTAAGCTTATAGAGTATATATGTCTAAAAATGTACCAATAAAATCAATAGTGTGATAGCCATTGCTGAATCTCCCTGTTGGTTTTGAATTCGGAAAATCGATCCCATGGTAAGGATAGTTAGCTCTTGCAAGACTTTTCAAGAAGTTGTTTGTCCCAACATCTGCAATTGAATCACCAAATATGAATATGGCTGGCAAATCTGCTTTGGCCAAGTACTGCATGGAGGCAACATAAATGCCAAGTGATACAAGAAGAATCCATCTTCTTCCCATCTCTCTCTCTCTCTCTCTCTCTCTCTCTATATATATATATATATATATTTAGGCTTCTGTGTGACAAGCTCTCTCTCTATTTAGGCTTCTGTATGACAAGTTTGAGTTTTAAATATTTATACCAAAAAAAAGGGAGGAAAAGTTAATTAGTTCATTTTTCCAACCTGGAAGGTCAGGCTCAAAGAACAAAGAAAAAGAATTTTTTGACCAGAAGAGCATGCATGGTCATGGCTGCAGATTATTAATTTGTCACTGTTTTGTGAAATCAAGACAAAAGTTGTTTTATTATGCTTGATTAATTAAAGGCAATTAGACAAATCAATGATACAAAATTTAGAGTTACTACTGTAATTAAATTATATATAAATTTTGTTTTGTAATGGTTTACAGATATCATGGAATCAGTAGCTCTATTAATTAATCCTAATCTGTCTTTGGTTGGAACGAAGGTCTTTTTCAGCAAGCTAAGATGAAAAAGAATAACTTTTCCCGACAAAAAAAGAACTCATTGAGAATGATTTATGGACAAAAAAATAAAAATAAAAACTCATCAAAAATGTTAATCTTGATAGTTTCAGATTCATAATCTTTGTCTTCCTCGACTAACATATATGATGAGACTAATAGCGTGCTGTCTAATTTTTCCTTTTTTTGGATAGTTTAATCATACGGAGTATTAGATAATTTAATATTGGCACCACTTCTCTCTCACACACTCGTTCCTGTTATAATCCAAATTGTGTGACCTCAATTTATTGTAAGCATGACAATTATGGCGGTATTTCGCTCATAATTGCGCTTCCATTCATGACATTTTATTTATTTTTGGTCACACCAATAAGTCAGTGGTAGACCATGCCTGAAAGAACATGCTGTGCATTTTGATCCCAGCTAGGTGTATCAATATATATGTTGCACTTAAAACTTTAAAAGCTTGAATTCCAGGTTGTATTAGAAAATTTTGGAACTTTCTAAAAAAATTTAATTTCCAGAACATTTTTGTAAAGAAGCAACAGAAGACTATATCCAATCCAAAAATCAATTTTGTTGAGATCTCAGGGGAGTCAAGTTCCAGAGTTATAAATAGAGTAGAATTGATAATTTTTTGAAAACGAAATTACTAAACTCTAGTGTGCTTTCAAAAGGTAACAAAATACCTCCCCATAGAAAAATTGCATTTTGCAAGAGTATTTTATTTGTTACAATTAAAATTAATTATTGTATAACCTATTACTTATTTTCGTACACTTCTGTACATGGGCGTATATGTAGATTGAAACTTGTCAGGAAGAAACCCTACAAGGGTTTCCACATAGAATTTGAATAGTTTTGTTCACGTGTAAAATATTACCTATTGAATGGAGCAATTTTTCTTTTTGCAGTAAATAAATAATAATAATAAAAACGTAACAATTTGAAAAAAAAAAATAGGAGTTTAACCATCTTTCTCCACTTTTAGATTTCAGTAAAATAGTTCAGGATTTAAACATCATGATTACCATTTTAGTTAAATGATTTATTTTTAAAGTTAAGAATTTTACATTAAAATGTCATATAAATGGTTAGAATGGTTAGTCTTGTTCCCATTGTTAGTATTTTCTCTTGATGGCACATGAATGCTAATGTTATGGCGCTTGATGAGCAGTAGCTCCTTAACGTACTGCTACAATTTCATTTCATTGCGGCACCATACATAAATATATATAAATATATACACATATATAAACATTGGAAAGGGTAAAATGGTCATGCAAAATGCAATTTTTGTCAAAATAATCCGTAAGTGTGACATAGGGTGGCACTGTGCAACTTTTGAAAGCACAGGGGAGCCCAGTTTTGAAAGCACTGGAGGTTTTAGTGCAATTTGTCCTCTTTTTTTTAAAACACTAACTGGTCATTCAAATTTTAGACCTAACAAAGTTGAAAATAACCATGCTGCAAATAGAAAAATGCAAAAAGCTCTGTTTTCTTTCTACAAAAATCTTCATTCTACAAGCATTCCCAATCTTTCCTTCTCTCACCAAAATAAGAGAAAAGGAAAATTTAAGATAAGAGTAACATTGTCTTCTACAAATATGTGATCCTATGAGAAACCTAACATACATTGGAATCCCCCATCGAATAATCAAGCCAGCAATCCAGCGCGCATTCGCCTCTACAAACCATCTCATCAATCTCTTGACATGCAAAGGTGATCAATGAACCAAGGACCGGTAATTCACACAAAAAAAATTCAGTTCGGACCATATATTATCAACATCCCATTGCAGATCACTGGCTGTAGTCTTTGGTCACATGTATTTCAGGCTTGAACATGAAATGGAGTGGGTTTGATCTGTTGATCCTACCAATTATACACATTTTAACATGATGTTTCGCCTTTTGCCACACAAGATATGTGGTGGGGATGGAGGTAACAAGCAGCCACTTATCTCTATCAATCATCGTCATTTATGGAAGGTCTATGCTGTTGAATGACCAAAACTGAGCCACTGCTATCGAAGTCTGAAGATGCCAAGAGATCTCCAACTGTACCGAGCTCAGCACACTCTTCCCAGTCACTAATTCCAGTTGTTAAAGGAGAGTTTCCTCGTCTTCCCTTCCCTACTATGAACAATGAATACATGTCAGCCATGTCCTTTAGAGAAGACGCGATCTCTGCTCCATTTTCCACATACTTCTCTACGAATCCCACTTGACCTGATTGCACATACCTAATGATAAACAACAAATTGTTACTACTCATAGAAACAAAAACATCTTGATTAACGACTTAGGTTTTGAAAACTTCCAATTATGCTAATAAAAGATTTTAGTTCATCACAACAAATCTTAGGAATTAAATAAGTCCTGAATAAGAATGCAAGAGCTAAAAGGAAGCAAGTGCTTGTTTTTAGAAACTTAAAGTTCTTAATAGTGACAATTTAATGTTGCTTCTTAATAATCATAGGAACTGCAAATGATAAGGACTGTACAAATGTAAAAATCAATCTTAAGGTTTGAATAAATCCTGAAACAAGAGTCCAGGAGTTAAGAGGGACCAAGTGCTTGTGTTTAGGAAGCTAAAATACTCAAATAGTAACAATTTAAGTGTTATTTCTTATGAACATAGGAATTGTGGAATACTACAATACTTCAAATTTTAAACTACTTTTTTCTCCATTTTTAATTTCAAAGTGCGAATTCTGTACTGCAAATGCAGCTTACCTGCCATAAAAGTCTGATAATGCTCTATTGTCTGCCACAGACTCTGTCTCATGATCTGATATCGCCATTAATACATCCTCCTCCTTGTGTACAACATTGATCTCCTCATTTTGGTCCTTTGATGATGCCAGTTGGAACCTAATGATAGTGAGGTTTATGTGATGATGCATTCCAAGACGCCTACCATATCCTAACACCTCGCGATCATCAGCTCCCCCAAAAAATAAAAGTGCAACTTGTCGCAGTGATTCTGACCCCGAAGATTGTGTGGTCCCACCAAGTCCCCTGTCCACAAGAATGCCTACCGTGCACGGGGCATGGAGGAGGACTTTCTGGTTGATGGTCCTTATACCCTCCTTATCATTCTCCATTTTCCCATCAATCCTCTGGTGCTTGTGGAAGGGAAGGAATATGATAGAAGCGCGAATGTCTGCAGCGCGCCCACACACATCAGCATACATGCTTAGAAAGGGGGATACTGCTTTAACCTGGTGAATAATCACTCTTGTCTCTGCAGTGAAGGTGTCAACAGCATCATTGATCTCCACCACATCATTGCCACCATAGTCTTCATCATCACTATGTTCATCGTTTTCTCTCTGGTGGTACATCAAATTGGTCTTTCTTTTCTCTGGGAGCTCAATTAGGTGCATCAAGTAGGGGGTGATGCCTATGTTCTCAGACCCTCGAGATGCTGCAATGAGCCCAAGCATGGTTAACACAGGCCGAGGATTATGCACACAGGCCAGTATTCGGATCTCACTCTCTGGATCTTGTAACTCAAATGCCTTGTGCCTGTAGCCGAGGTAGTTTTTTTCTTTTCTTACCATGAAAGCTATAATTGGCCCCGCAATCAGTGTTTGAATCACTATAGTTGTCATCATAAGACCATAAAAATTATGGCTTGCAACTTGCTGTATATATATAGATACAAACAAATTTTCAATTCAGTCTTTAATTTGCTATCACAGCAGAATTTAGGAATTGCACAATAAAGTATAAATGCTGTTAATTGAGGAGTATATATATCACAATAATGCATTAGCACATGTTACTTTTGGTGAAAAAGAAGAATGAAAAGTAATTATATTAGAATTTTGTTGGTTTTCTCACCCTTAATTTGTTTGTCATTCAAATAGCAATTTGTGTCCACTATTCCTTCTAAGCACCTAAAACAACAAAAATATCAAGAGGACTGGAGGCTGTTTTCTCGTCTTTACAAGAATTTTGATTATCATCAACTGAAAATAGTTGTTTGGTGGAAATGAAAATGCAATTAAACTTTGTAGAACACTCCTAATCATAAGTATGGCTTCTAATTGATGTAGTGAACAAAACCATATTAAGTCGATAAAAAAACTTACTTTATTCTGCAATCCGGTGGTCAAGGCTAGGAGATCAAGATGGCCTTTCAAGTTCATCAAGAGAGCAAGGATGACACCTTCATTCAGAGGAATCTTTAGGTAACGGCAAGCAAGAAGGGTGCCACTAATCTTGCCTCCGAGGCTCAACAAGAAAACAATGACAACAATGGCGAAATGAATGAGAGAGTTTATGTTAGTTATATCTGCTTGAAACCCAGTGTAGCCAAAGTAAATTGGGAGTACAAAGCTGTGGACAGAATAGCTAAGTTTGGGCAACAATGTTCTAGCTGTCCGGCCTGCCCTAGGGAACATTGAGCCCATGAGAAAACATCCGATTATGCTGTTGAATCCCATTGTTTCAAGAACCAATGCAGTAGCCACGACGAGTGAAAGAATGCCAAATAGTTCAGCATTTTTAAGGTTCTTCAAGTTTCTGTTCCGTCTATTCAGCCAATTTGCTAAGTACATGTTGACAACAATGACAACCACAACCATGAAGAGCGAAAAGAAGCCCTCTAAAGTCCATAGAAAAAATCCAACTTTAACCCTGCCTCTTGACATAACGATCACAATTAGTACACAATACATGTCACTGATCAAGGAAGAAGATATGGCAAGGCGCCCAAAATCTGAAGTGGTGAACTTCAATTCAGCTGCCATACGGATAACAATTGGGGAAGCCGTGTTGGCTAAGATCACCGTGATCATTAAGGCCATTATGATCATGGGGCCATGGGCTGCAGTTTCTTGGTACACAAAGGGGGTGATGGCTGCTGCAAAGATGCTACATATTATGCATCCGCCAAACGCGATGATGCTTGCTGGACGAATGTTGCGCATTAAAAAAGGAACATCCATTTCAAGGCCAAATAGGAACATAATAATTATTCGAGCAAACAATGCCAAGGTTTCATAGTAATCTGCAGCCATATTCTGAAAGAAGATCTTTTTTATATATTCTATATGTGATAGTCCTGAAGGACCTAGCACCAACCCAGCCTGAAATAAGTAATGCACAAGCATATACCAACAATAAGTACTAACGATTTACATATCCAAAGAAAAAAAGAAAAGAAAAAAGGAACACTAATGACATTGTTAAGCCCAACAACTGATTCATTTAGATAATGCAAATATACATAATGCTATGAAAGATCAAATGGATTGTAATTATAGAAGGAATAGTCAAGGAAAAAGCAAATAGAGGGCTTTAATTACAACCTGTTTAAAAAATGTGCAATCAAGTACATCAGAATTTCCAAATTAAAAAAAAATAAAATAAAATAAAATAAATAAAAAAATAAAATTGAGACCAAAGAAGATAGTACATCAAAAATATTTCATTTTGTCAATATTTATTAATTGTTATAATAAGATATAATCATGAAAGACCAATGCATCTTATGACTACTGTGTGTATATAAACTTATGTTTCGATACATTGAAGAGATGTGATCGTGGCACAACAAGGTCATTCTACTGGTATAACCTCTCCGGCCTCGATCCCTCAAAGGGGAAGTGAGGGGTTCAAGCTCCATAGAGTGTTTAGCATAAGTACTAACAATTTACATACCCAAAAAAAAGGAACACTAATGACATTGTTGAGCCAAACAACTCATTGATTTGGATTATGCTAATTTACATATGCTATAAAGATTAAATGGGTTGGAATTACAGAAGGAATAGTCAAGGAAAAAGAAAATATAAGGTGTTACAACCTGTTTAAAAACTGTGCATTCGATTGTGTCACGGCATTTCCAAATTTGAACATATTCTTTGAAACCAAAGAAGACAGTACATCAACGTTTTTTTCATCAAGTGTTCTAATAAGATACCATCATGAAACAGCAATGCATCTTATGGCTAATGTGTGTATATATACTTACAAAAATTATGTATCAATTGAGGAGATATGCCCATGCAACCATTAGGCCATTAGCACAACTGGTATAACCTATCCTCCCTCGAAGGGGGAAGTGGAGGGTTCAAACTCCACAGTGGCATATGCTCGTGCACATGATATGCGTAACTACGTACATATGCAAATATATAATGTTTATGATTATGGAAGTATAAAAGGGTTAGCCTAGTGCACGAGACCCCAATCATTGCAGAGTCTGAGAAGGATTAGATATACGCAGAGTTACATATATATATATATATATATATATATATATATATATATATGCAAGTATGAACATACCGAAATGTATGTGTTTAGATGACATACTTACGAGAATTTGAGCAATGGGTCCAGGTTGGCCTAAGGGCTTGAGCACAAGTTGAAATACATGAGAGAGAACAAGAATGCAGGAAACCTGCATGCCCATTGTGAGGACTGGGTTGAACAAATCCTCGTGGCACGCAACACGCCGTGTCGCGTCCATTTTTACAAGAAAAAGGCAATAAAATTTTAAAAAAATGTGGTTATATTAGTACGTGGGTTGAGCAAAGAATGTATGTATGTATGTTGAAGAAGAGGCAAGGAAAGGGAGAAGATGGTAGTAGAAAGGTACCCTTCCTCTCCTCTCTTCCTTAACCCTTGAGAGAAGAAACACTTTCTCTCTCTATTTCTCTGTTTTCCTTTGTTGGTGTCATAGAGGGTTAAGGCCATAGATAGGAGGAGGAGGAGGAGATGGTGGTTGTCTGCAAGTTTTGTTTGGCTTCACATCCCTTGTTTAGGGATGGAGGGCCGTGCTTAACGGATGATGGCTTGGAAAAGATAATGTTATTTACGTGTTTGTGTGTGTGTGTGTGTGTGAGAGAGAGAGAGAGAGAGAGAGAGAGAGAGAGAATTATTATTATTATTTTTGGTATATTATGTTAATTCTTCCCAATTTTTGGATGTATAGATAATGTACCCCATAATTTTAGGAGTTATTACTAAAAATAGACAAGTGAAAAGATAAAAGAATCACCAGCAAATCTAGACTTTGTGCATCCTGTGTATTCCTTGGCTCCAGCCACTGTTGTGGTAGGCTCATTGTGACATGTGCTTTAAAGAATTGTGTTTGTCTCTAATACCAATTAACACAGACGAAATGCTTTGTGATTAGTCAAAATTTAAGTAATTAGGTTGGATTAACACACAATTCATATATAGTTAATTATTTTTTTTTCTCTATGATCAGAACTGATACGGGACAACACTTCCTTTGTAACCCTCTACTGTTGAATGTTTAGGTATTGACGATACTTTTAGAGAGAGATATCCTGCCACAACTTTTACCTATATCCAGATTCCCATTCCAATCCCATAAAAGCAAGATAGGTTCATTTGGACACCATCACCAAAATGGGAAATTCACAATTGCAGTCACTATGAAACACCTGAACCAAAACCTACCCTCTCTTCCTTGGACTAATTTAGTTTGGTCTAAAACATTAATTCCAAAACATGCTTTCACCCTTTGGGTTGCAATTCAACACAAACTCCTAACCCTTAACAAAAGATGCACCGCCTACGTTAACACCACCACTTGCCTCCTCTGCAGTAATGATCTCGAATCACATGACCACCTTTTCTTCAAATGTCCCTTTGTTAGACCCTTGTGGACGTTTCTACAAGCATGTAAGATGTGGGCTCTACATTATGCCTTCCAACTGGACTGATCTAATCTCATCGGCTGCTTATCATTGGAGAGGCAACAATCAGGGTTGCAACACTTTATCCAAAATAGCCCTTTCATCACTGGTATATAATGTATGGAATGAACGCAACAGAAGGTTGTTCAAGAAGAAAAGACTGTCTGTTAATTCCCTCCTCCATCTCACACTGGAACCAGTCCGTTTGAAGCTGCTATCTTCATCTTTCATTGACTCAATCCATACTAGGAGACTAATTGTGGAATGGGAGCTACCACCCTCTATTTTACGGCCTCCTCCAGAGCCACCGGATTGAAAAGATTGAGGAATTTCTTCCATGGTCATCTCGGTATGAATGTGGAGCTAGCAACAGTTTTTCCATTTCTTTGCCTGGGTTGGGTTGCTTCTTCTTGGGCCTGTTGTTACTTTTGGGCTGTGAATATCTTTTGGTTAGCCTGGTGTCACGGGCCTAGAGATTTGGCGCAACGGCACGGCCCGTGCAGCACCAAGGCGTTGCTTCAGCTCACGCAAGCGCCCTGGTCAGCCACCACGACCTGCCTTCCCAAGGATACATGCTGACTGGTTTCGGCCTGCCATGGCCTCGTCAAGGGAACGGCTCCAGCTCCCGACCAGTTTGTGCAGGGATGGCCAACTCCCTTCTTCATAGTCAAGTCCACGACCAGCGACAAGCACCTCGAACTGAACCGAGTCGACCTGCTTGAACTCTGAAGAGGTACCATCCTGTGGTCCTGCACACCCCTTCCCTGGAACCATTCCCAGTCAATGAATATTCTTAGCCAACCAGCATGCGTGCCTTCTATGCTCATGGCGTCGTTAGGAATCGGATCGTGACATTCTCCCCCACCCAAATCCTGCGACGCCCTCGTCGCAGTGCGGCGCTGACTCCGCTGCGTCCAACATTCCAAAGTCTCTCTCCTCCAAGTGGTATGCTTGCCTGCCCACCATCGCTTCCTTGTACAACCCCTGGCTGCACTCGCCCAATGATAGGGTTTCGGGCTAAAGGGACGCCCACTTCTTCGGGACGCAACCCCATGTTATGCCGCCTCCGCGACACCCTGAGCAAACAAGCGCCCTCCGGCTGACTTGATACCCGCCCTTCACAACGGTTTACACGCCTCTTGAACTTGCAAGAACTTTGGTGCGCGCGGCCCTCCGGCCATCCGATGCGCACGGCCCTCCGGCTTAAAGGACGCATCCACATGGGGAGATGGAGGCTCTCCTCCAATAGCATTGATTGCCCACCGACGTTTTTTCAGTGTACCGTCTTCATTCTCAAGACCAACGGATCGACAAGGGGGCACACCTCTGTGCTTTTCCCCAAGTCCTGCTTTGACACCATTTGTCACGGGCCTAGAGATTTGGCGCAGCGGCACGGCCCGTGCGGCACCAAGGCGTTGCTTCAGCTCGCGCAAGCGCCCTGGTCAGCCACCACGACCTGCCCTCCCAAGGATACATGCTGACTGGTTTCGGCCTGCCATGGCCTCGTCAGGGGAACGGCTCCAGCTCCCGACCAGTTTGTGCAGGGATGGCCAACTCCCTTCTTCATAGTCAAGTCCACGACCAGCGACAAGCACCTCGAACTGAACCGAGTCGACCTGCCTGAACTCTGAAGAGATACCATCTTGTGGTCCTGCACGCCCCTTCCCTGGAACCATTCCCAGTCAATGAATGTTCTTAGCCAACCAGCATGCGTTTCTTCTATGCTCATGGCGTCGTTAGGAATCGGATCGTGACACCGGGCAAACTTTGACTCTTATGTACTATTTCCCCTTTAATATAATCTCAATTTTCTAAAAAAAGAAAAAGAAAAAGAAAAGAGAGAAAGAGAGAGAGATATCCTAGGTAAAATGGTATGATGCTATATTTAATGAACATGCATTTACTCGTATTAAATTCTGAAAAAAAAAAAAGAGAGAGAGAATGTTAATGAGAAATTAATTAAAGAGAGATTGTTCAAAGTTGATATCAGTCCTTTAATTTGCCACTATGTAGATGCCACATACATACATTATACAATACAATTTTTTGCTACTTTTCCATTCTAAAATTACAAATCCAACATTGGACATCAAACATGTAGAACATAACAAAAAAGAAACACTTGACAGAAATAACCAAATTTTACAAGAACTCCTCCAAATAGAAATTCTCTTTGTAAAATGGTTAGTCTATTAATGAGGCTTGAAGAAGTTCACTGTAATCCCAGTGTCAACCACAACATAGATCCCAGCTGCAATCAAAATGAGACTCAAAGCCATGCCCAACACTCCAAGTCCCCAATTCAGGCACCACATTGCACTATACACCTTTGGTTTCTTGATCTTGAGCCACATGAAACAGGGGTAAGCTAGGGTTACCGGCAACGCAATCCCTCCGATCAGACCACCTAGGCTGCCCAGAAATGGGATTGCCACTGCTACAAAGAAGCATCCGAACCCAAAGTTAGCACGGACGAAAATTAAGCGCACCCACCACGCGCATGGCTTCTTGAATTTCGTCGCGAACATAGCCTCCATGAAATCGAACATTGGCATGGCATAAATTTGGAATGAGCTCACTGCATTTACTATGACAAGTATGCTTGTGAGTCCTAGCAAAGACCGTGAAACATCACGGGAATGGAATCCGTAGAGGGCTGAAAACATACCACCGTTTGCTGGTATCTGCCAATATAATGAAAAACACTTTAATAATGCTCGTAAAAATAGTGATGACACGATATTATCAAGTGACACAATATTGGATACATACCATTTGACCATAAGCCCAATAACCACCTATTGCAAGTGGAAACAAGCACATTGCAACAATTACATATGCAAACTTCACTCCCCTCCACATTGGTACTCGAGATGGATGCTTCTCACTTGAAGGCATGGTGGCCTGCAACATTTTTATAACATATACTATATTAAAAACCATTGAAATTCAAGTATTAAAAAATGATAAAAAAAATTGGGTAAAACCCAAATTTCAGATTTTTTAACAGATGAAATAACTAAAGACCATTCAATAAAAAAAAATAAAAAAACAAAAAAATTCCTTCCTTTCCGTGTTGACTATATATATATATAGGCCCTTAAGATAGGCTCTGGAGATTCCAAATTGATAATACTAACAAGAAGCTATTGCGTATGGAGAAGTCCTAGAGTTAAAAAAGTCAAGGTTCCCAATTTTAAAATTTTAAAAAACAATTAAATATATTTTTCAAAATTAAGAATTGACAAGGTAAAACTTAAACCGAACAAGTGCTTGTTTGAAACATTTTCTAATAGAATACTAAAAAAAATAATAAATAAATAAAAAGAGAGCTTGATATGTCATGCTTAAGGTCAAGAATGGAATCTGGTAGTTTAGCAACTTATTCCTAGATTACCAAATTACACCATTTCAAACCAATCTCAAATTATAAAACTTATTTCAATATATCTTATTATATATATATATATATATATATATATATAAAAGAAGTGATAATCATCTTCTGCATTAGTTGATCAAGTAACAAAATTGTGTACCTGTATTTCAAGAATTAGATTGTGACCCCTAAAAGCGAAAACAATGATCCCAAGTGCATTAAGGATGCTAAAAACTCTGGCAGGCTGGGTTTTAACCACTATTGGATCATAGGACACCCTTGGGAGTCTGCCCTCTGCGACGGACACCACCCATATGACAGTGCAGTACCCTATTGCAGTGAGGGCTCCGACCAGAGACACCCCGGCTATGGAGTTCAAGTTTGGCAGCTGAGACAGCACCACAGCGACGCATGTGAACACGAGGTACCATTCCACTGGTGTCAATGGCCTCGCGCTGCATGTGGTGCCACATAAAATCTGGTAGAAGAGCTTGGAGGTTGAGCCACCAATGATGATCAGTGCGACACAAGTGCCACCGGATAGGTACATGATAGGAAACAAGGCCAGTAACTTCCCTGCCTTTTCACCTGAGGCATCAAATTCAATAATACTAATAAGAACTTCTATGGTCTAATTGTTTTGAAGTTTTTTTTTCTTTTTCCAAGAAAAAAAAAAAGAAAAAATGGTATGAACTTGAAGAAGATCAACCAAATGTATCATATATATATATATATATATATATATACCAAATGTAAGAGAGAAGAGCTGGAGGTATCTGCTGTAACGCATCCCGGTTTCTGTGGATTCATGGAGCTGGACTAGCACCCATAGGGTGTAGAGCTGCCATATGAATGTGAGGGTCAAGCAAATTATTCCCCATGTCCTGAAATCAAATACAAGATAGAAGTACTTCTCATCAAAACAATCTAATTTGGAATTTTATTTACCAAGAAACCTTACGAATGTTAAGTTAATAATAAATATGTACATTTGTTTTTCATTCTGTGTGTGTATTAAACAAAATATTTGAACTTTCAAATTTTGTTCTTTAGATAAGAAACTATATATTTTATGCATACGGAAACAAAGGCATTCTTATCAAAAAATTTGACAAAATATTCAACCCCACCAAGGTTGAGTTCACATATTTATGAAAATGTCACTCAATCTTATGCAAGCAAGTGTATGGTCACTAGTTCACATATTTATGATGTGTTTGAATATAATTCTAGAGCATTGTTACTATGGTCACTAGTACAAGAGAATTAGACTAGGCTTAGTGAATTTTTATTAGCTAAAACTTAGGAGAGTTGACTCTCTTGCTTGAATGAGTCTGGAGCTAATGAAATGAGTTGTTTGGTAGTCTTACCAGCCAAGGATGGTGAAGGCCACAGGAAGGACAAGAGCTTGGAATCCAATCCCGGAGGAGAGGGCGTGGAAGGCAGCATAGTAGGCGTTGCCATTTCGAGACTCAGTAATGGGCAGCCAAGCATCCTGAGGATCAAGCTTTGTGAGATGCAAAGCCTTCCTTACAGGACTCCCCAGCGGAGTCAAGAACCTCGGAGTAGTCTTAGCCGACTTGCTTGGAGGTGGCAGAGGTTCTTCCACTTGCTCAGCGTTAAGCATTGGCACTCTAGACAACGAAGGCGAGTTATACTGAGCCGGCGAACATGACACTGGTGGCGGTGGTGATGGCACGGGCACCACAGTCCCCGTCCTAGGCGTTATGGGAGCTGAACTTATTTCAGACACCTCTTCACTCATTTTTGAGTCGTGTCCCAAAACTTGCGCTACTTGCTTGCTCTCTTTAGGCCTTTTTGGTGGTGCCCTTTTTGTTTCTCACACAATGTAGCTCATACAAGAGATATATATATATATATATATATAGTTAGTTAGTCCTTAGCTTCCAAATTTATCAATTTGGTCAATGTGTGTGTGTGTGTGATGATAGATAGGAATGTAGGAATAGTTGGTTATTAGTTGGATTGCATTGGTAAGCTACTGGTGGTAGAGTGGTTAGAATAATAAAGGTATGGTTTGACGGACAACTTTGGCTGCCATTCTTATCTTTTTTCATTTAACCTCATGTGCTTGAATCCATAAAAAATTGAACTACGTTTGTGCCTTGTTAGAATGGGCGATACGCGGACCAAGTCAGAATAATAGGAGTCAGTAAACAGTAGTATATGTTTAGGGTCGTCTCCTTTTAAATTACTCTGCTTTTGGGGTGGACCAGCAAAAGGACATGTACTCGGATTGAATAATGAATGCTGAGTCAATGCCTACGGGCCCTTGAGTTAAGGGTGATGTTGATGATCATCTACTTTGAAATGCTTTAATAGTCTGGGTCCCAAGAATATATGGTCCAATTACTTTGAAGCAACAAGGAGTTTTTTTTTTGGGGATTAAATACCATTAATTTTTATATTAATTTCGCGAACGGTGGCCGGCCGATTAGCTTAATTTTTAAAGTTTTTAAAAATAATACTAGTTTGTGTAAATATGAAAATAATACATAATTAGATATCCCACTTTTTTTTTTTTTTTTTTATGTAAGTGAGCGATGATATCATCGTGGCATCAGCTGACATTATTATAATGTCATTCCCTAATGATATCAACAAAGATTCCAAACACGTGTTTTTCTTATAATTTCTTTTGTTACGCACTTAATTAATCAGTCAAGACATGAAAAAATTCAATTCAACAATCTGAACACAGAACAGTTTCTCTGTTTCATTCCTTGAATTGTTTATTTACTAAAGAGGGTTATTCAAACATTTCACATTAGGTAATCCAACTGATAACGAAAATGCAGCAACCATAATCATTTGGCCAGCTATATGAAAGAACTTGTTTCCTAGAAACTTCAAACAGTGATTGATTACTTTTGTCATGATCTGATGGTACATCGACGATATGAATGAGACATTTTCCCTGTACATTTGACTTTATCTTAATTGCAAAATCATGTCCACATTGCCATCGTCAAGCTGAAATTGTAAACAAATTTTATACTTATCCAATTTGGGCTTAGATTAGAGACTGCAAAACATGAGTATTAGACTTTACAAGAATATAAACATCATCCATTGAGATCGAAAGAGAGAGGCCACTCATATGGTAACCCTCTTATTATTACCTAGTCAGATTTAATTACCTGCAAAACACACACACACACACAAAGTGAAGTATTCTTGAAGTAAAAATTACCAAAGTCAGAGACAAATACGTAAATGTTAGATAGCAAGTTCACAGAAAAATGAGTAATGAAGGCCCTATTTCAGTATCACAAGCTCAGATATGAAAGATGAGTAGCTTTTTAGGTTGCAGTAACAACACAATCGATTTTCTATATTTATTCCATACTATGCATTACAATAGACAAAGCTGGCAAAATTACAAATGATTTATGTCAATGACAGTACACAAAATTATAGGACCTGTATGATATAACAAAATGCATACAACGTATAAGGGTATAAGCAAAACAATATATGAATAACGAATCTTATATTCCTTTAGGTCTGTGATTTGCGATACTTCAAGGCTTCAAAACGAGCTGCAAGTGCATCATAATCTGGCAACTTGGGATGAACACGAGATACTGAATTCTGTTGAACATGAACCGAAGGTACTTGTGGTGCAAGCCGGTTGGGTGGTGGATTAACATCACCAGAAGGTTCTTCCATCTGAAATTCTTCTTCACAGTCTGATTCATCGAACTTTATATCTGAATGTGCAGATGGGACATTGTAGCTGTGTCTCCGATAAACCTTTCTTGGGTCCATATTGGTAGGCTGCGTTGTCATCTCGTCATCACTTAAATAATGAGAGCCTGTAAAGCTTCGTGACTCATACATCCTCCCCAGCACATTAGATTGAGTACCGGCAGATTGGGACTCAATTGGAGGATCATTTCGCTTGAAAATTCTAGTGGAATGGCCAGAATGATTAATGCATGAACCATTCAAATTAGTATTATTAAAACAACATGCTTGATTGACCTGATTCGAGTCTTTGTTGGCCAGATAGGCAGCAGCTTCTGCAGCAGCAATAGCGTCCTTTGCAGACTGAGCAGCTGCTTCAGCTGCTGATGTTGTGTCTTTAAACTGTGTGGTGTCCCTTCCTTCACTACCTGAATACCTCCTGAATTAAATGACATCGGAAATTGTTACTTCTAGCGTAACAGTCAAGAACTTTCAGCTCTTTAAAGCAAAAAAGAAAGTAGAATTACTACTAAAATGCTATCCCAATAGCGCCTAATTCTTGTTTAAAAAAAAAAATAGCGTCTAATTAATGCTAATCAAATAGTGCCTAATTACCTAGTGATTGGCTCATTTGGCTCAATAGACTGCCTTGGTGTAGATTTCACTGGAATGCTGGAAGCACTAACAAAAGTGCGTGGTCCTTCCTGATCAAGCAGAGCACAGATTGGTAAGCAGGCCACATGAGTTGATTTTTGCACCATATAGAAAATGACAAAAAGCACAGAACACACACACACACACACAAAGAGGAACACACTATACGCTCTTCTGGAGGCTTGAGAAGCTCCGTCTCAGACTCCGTTGTGTCCCATTCAATCTGGTATTCCTTGGCTATTTCCTTCATGACCTTCAATTTTATTTCACCACTTGGGGTTCTAACAGAGAGCTTCTCAATGAGCTGTAAAAGAAAAAGGCAAACACTTTATCCAACTTGGTGTCTATAATGATGAAACGAATTGAATTATAAAGCTATGAAGCACCCAAAAAAAAAAAAAAATTGAACCTTTCCTTATAGAAGTCATGGTAGGAACTAGGAACACATTTACCATTCTATTTACACCAGCATTGGGTCTTAGATCAGTAGCTGCAGATACAAAATCTTTTCCATATTTCTTCTCAAAAATATCTCGGATTGCCTGCAGCTCTGGAATATCTGAGCACCGAGGAGCTGCAAATATCAAACTCGATACCCCTTCTTTAAGATCAGCTGGGCATTCCCTAGAATGAAAGGACCCAGATCACTACAGATAGAATTTGAGTTGATGTGTGCCTCACAATACAATTCAGTAAAACCACTCAGTTTTTAAATACCTTTGCTTTGAAATAATTGAAAGTCTTGCCACAACTAGTTCACAGAAGAGCTCAATGACCTCATTTGCAGCCATAATATTTTGTTCTCTGATCACATGTTCCACCTAAGAAATCACAAGAACTCGTTCAAAGACCACATTTTGCCTAAATTTCAATAAGTATGGACAATGTTTATATTGATAATTGACTTCTAGATTAAACTTTAATTTGAAAACCTATGAACAGTTAAATCATTTATAAGCCTTTGTTTTGGCAGCTGATTGGAAAGAACTCTATAAATGACATTAAGTAGGCAAGTTTGAGGTAAAACTCCAACAAAAGAAGCAACAGTTTCAAGACACACATGCATATAGGAGCAACGAAAATTGCATGAAGAACTAGAAAATTTCCACTATGCCGTAATCATGCATGCAAACCCCATAATTGATCATAAAGAAAATGTGTGCAGTAACATCGAGTACAGCAATGCAAAGATACTTGTCCAGCTTTGTGTTGAGCCAAAAAGGTGCAACTACTATGTCATTTTAAGGGGGGAACAACAATTATTAAAGCAAGTGTCATGAGAAAAAAAAAATGCAAAATGAAAAACTCCTTTACATCATTTTCCTCTATCATATAGAGTGTGATAACAAAAAATTTAGCCTTCAAATTCATGATATGAGATAAGAAGGGATTGCTAGCATGACTATTCTTCCGAAAGGGGGGAGAATCCGAATCTTTATTGGGTCACATGACCATATGGTGATCCTCAACCATGAAGAGTGTTCGCCCTGAGTGCCAACACTTTTTGTTGGGGTCTTTCCATCACTGCTGTAAAATTTTAATGAAGAAAAGGTTATATATTCTATCAGTGTGGTTGGCCAGATCCAATTGTTCCACAAATGATCGATTCAGGGAAAATTGTCAAGCTACCTTAAGGGGAGTGATCAAAACAACTTTGTCTGAATAAAAGACTGTGGGATTTATCATTCTACAATTTCAGAAACATGAACAACAGCAAAGGTCGGATAGTCATGATGAATGCTGATACTGAGTAAAGCAGATGAGCTCTTTCCTGATTAAATCTGAGTTTAATTTTAATGACAAGACATGTTTTGTTCTTTTGTAAATGGGATGCTTAAGGTTATTGTGTCCCTTAAGGTTATGATAATCACACCAACATGGAACCAAGGTAATTCTTTTAAATAAATCCTTTAAACATGTAAACTTATTTTAGTGGTGTAAATAGAGAAGTTAGCATGATAATCACATCTATGTCAAACCAAGCTCATTCTTTTAAAATCCTTTAAACATGCAAACTAATTTTGGTGGTGTAAATAGAGAGACATCAGTATGATAATCACATCAATATGGAATCAAGGCCATTCTTTTAAATCCTAAAAATGACCTCATATAGATTTAGACAAGTTGACGAGATATAATTGCAAAAGTTTCATCTACATTCAACTAAAAACACAGGAGTGATTCGGGAAGATATCTTATACTGTGTAAAATAAACTCAAAAAGTGACATTCTAATTATTGCTTCATCAGTTTTTTTTTTTTTTTAAGAGGTTCAGTTCTGCAGTCTTATTTCATCAAGAACAGAATTTTATTTAATGTCATAGGGTTTCTGTATCAAAAAAATATATATATAAAAAAATAAAAAATTCCTGTACCACGGGCTTAAATGACCCAGAGCTAGTCGTGGCAACCTTAGTGAAATCGAATCCCATATCAGATTATATGTCGTTTAAACAATAAGCCAAAATCAGGATTTTTTAGAGTCCCATAACCCAATTTCAAGCAAAGAAATCCAATTTTCATGAGTTTTTCATTTCATAAGGGAATACCCATTGGAGATCATAACAACAAGTAAAGAAAAAGCACGAAAATCAAATCAATTATTAATGTAGGTGTAAGAAAAGATGGGTAGCCAAAATCACTGTTTTTAGAGTCCCACAAACCAATTTCAAGCTGAGAAATTCAATTTTCATTTCACAAGGCAATACCCATTGGAGATCATAACAAACAACTAAAGAAAAAGCAGGAAAATCAAATCAACAATCAATGTAGGTGTAAGAAAAAAAAAAAAAAAAAAAAATACCCGGATGCGAGCAGTGGAATCCTGACCAGACTGAAGAAGCAAAGCAATGTCTCGCCTCATCTGCTTCACCACCGCCTCCCTCTTGTTCCTCAGCAACTTTATCCTCGCCACTGCCATCTTCGCACCTGTCTTGCTGTTTCCATATATAATTAAAGAGAGAGAGAAATTGTTTAGGGTTTAAATTTGCAGTAAATGGGTGAGAAGAGAAATTGAGAAGGAAGAGGAAGAGGAGAGAGATTTAAGCACAAACCATTTGGATGAATTGAAGCCTCTGCGGAAGATCTTGATTCCCAACTTCATCGCCTTCTTACAGTGTCTGGTGGCTACACTTGCGACAGTCATGTTTCCCCTTTCCAACTTTTGAGAGAGAGAGAGATAAAATATGTATAGAGAGAGAGCGGAAATGAAGGGTAATAAGCTGAGTATAACGGTCTGCAAAGATGGAAAAGAATAGAAGAAAGGGTATATGGCATGTTCGCTCACGTGGGCCCAATGAAGCACCGACTTGATCCCCACAGCTGCTTCGGTTTTGGAGAGAAAAAAGAGCCGTTGTATAATCTGACACGTGGAAAGAAGAAGGTGGGAGTGGCACAATTGGTGGTCTTTTGTGTGATGTTGGGCTGGGCCCAAAACATGCTAGCCCACTATTTTCTTAGACTCGTGAAATTAATTTAAAGTAGAGTAATGATGGGACCGAAAAGAAATTTTTGAATTAATATTGAATTTAATGTGGTTGGTTATTCTTATCACATGTTAAATAATTATTTTTTTGAAAATGATTTAAGTAGATGAAGTGGACAAACACTCGTCAAATTCGGGACTTATTCGGGAAAATCATTCGGTAACTCTATCATTTTCTTTTAAAATATTGGGTATGCCCTATCGATAATGTAGTAGGATTTTTTATTAATTATCAATATATCTTTTATTATTTAAGAAAAACAATAACATTTATTGACCGAGGATAGTATATGGCTGGTACTTTCAAGATGCAATCTGTTAGGTGCAGTTTGGTAAGAATAAAATGGTAAATTTTTTGTTTAATTGATGATTTATGAGAATTATTTTTTGAAAATTAAATTAAAATAAAAAAGAACTTGTTTTCGTATGATTATTTTTTATAGTTTTCTAAAAATTAATATTTTCTGAATTTTTTAAAACAATTTTCTTATTTCTGACCTACAAATTAAGCAGACCCATTACAGTTTAGAATTTCAATTCCTGGTTCAATGATAAATTGTATTGTAAAATGTCTAAGAAACTCATGTAAATTTTAGTCAGCCTCTGAGAACTTTCACCATCATAACCTTTTTTTTTTTTTCAAGTAAATTTAACCACTATCATAACCTTGCTTGACTGAGAAAAGCAATACTAAGAGGTCACAAATGAAAAAAACCTTACCTGATTAGTAACTTTATTCCCATAAACTGTATTTTTCAAAATTATATTATTGGAATTATGGGATTTTATTGATTTTGGATTTTCAAATGAATTTTTATTGTTTGGAATTGATAGAACTCGAAACTGGATTGTATTTCAAGGTCAGATTTTATGTGATTTAAGCAAATGGAAGCTTGAAGATTTGAGTCCCAAAAAAACTGCAAATGGTTGTGTGTGTGATTTACCTACCCAATATAATAAATATTGAAATGGGATTTATTTCAAATTCTTTCCTTTCTATTTCCTTTTTGAAATCTCATTTTACAAATGGATTTGATCTCAAACACAATGGACAAATAATCCCTTAAATAAACTCAGAAGAACATAATATACAATGGCAGAGCTCACTGACTTTGAAAATTGTACTCAATTACAAATCTTATATGTTACAAAACAATTTGAATCATAAATGTACATTTAAAAAAAAAAAAAAAAAAAAAAAAAAATTGAAAACCTCAACTAAGTTCTTTTGAACTGTGGATGAAGACTTCCTGATAAAAAAATGGATGTCTAGATCATCCTAACAAGAGAGTATGTTTAGCAGAGACACTCTTGTGTGGATCAAGCACCTAAACAAGCCCTCCAATCCATTTTCAAAATGTCCAACAACAGCATCCAAATCCTCCAACCTCCTATGTGCACTTTGGATCCTTTCTTCCTCACCATCTTCACTTGAACTCTGCAACAATAAGACGCGTAGAGCAATGTCCGCGCTCTCCACCTCATTCATATTGTTCTGTTCACCAACAGATGCTGCTCCTCCTTTCTGCACCAGTTTTGAAAGCAATGACCATCTACTCGGCTTTGGCTTTAATACCAGCACAGAGAGGAATAACAAAAGGGACTGCAAGATAGAAATGGTGACCAAACTTGCTTCTCTTAGTACTCTAACCACAGCCAAGAGGTGGCTGTCAATGTCCAAGAGAGAAGAGGCTGCAAGTTTGTTTTCAATATTTTTCAGTGTCACGAGAGACTTTTCAAATTCCTTCCTCATCCTCTTCCTAGAGCATACATAAGCATTGACATTGCTTTCAATGCTCATATTGGCAGCCTTGCTTCTTCGGAGAGCAGATTGAAGCTCTCGGACACCTTCCTTCATTAGCAAAACAGTATCCCTTATGTTGCTGCATATATCTATGTATCTGATGGACCCTTCAAGCAACTCATTGACCAATGTTTCGTGTTGATGTTGCGCGAGAGCTTGTTGGACTACTGGCAAACTAAGAAGCTCTTCTATGCATTCGAAGACTTCTTCTAGGCCAGACAAGCCATTGCAAATTGTGTCTGCCTTTGGCGAAGAAAACGCTTCCCAAGTTTTAAGCTTGTTTAGCTCTTCTTCTGCTTTTATTGTGCTAGGGTGAGATCTAGCCGGAAAGCTAATAGACCGGACATGGTAGTGAGTAATAGACTTTGGGGAGAAACCTGCCATAGTTGTACTTTTATGGTATGAATGGTTATATCAAAATAGGTTCAATGTGTAATTCTCTGATGAATCCTCACTTGTATACTTATACCAACACCTTGGAAGAAGAAATGAGGGGACTAAAAAATAATATTTGATTCCAATGTCAATATGATATGCATGTGAAGGGAGTGTGGGGCTTTCTCTGCAATGTGTTATCTGTCATATCTTCAACCAACAAATCCAAAAACACTAACTTATTCTATTAGTCTCAATTGTATTAATTTGGGTACCATATATCTCATTTTCTGGATTTTTTTCGTACTAAACTAGATTTGTTAGGCTCATCTTCTCCCGTACACATCCATCACCGCCATCTTACATTTCCAATGTTCCATGAATCCATAAAAGTCGGTCACATTAAGAAATAAATGGTGCATTCCAAAGTTGTCTAAATGTGATGAACCTTGAACCTTGAGAGATCAAGAACCATATTATAAATTGATTACAGATGTAGATGGATATGGTAGTTAAGACAGAATAATGCAGATGTATATTTATATATATATGTGCACGAATGGGATGTCGTCACAATGTCTCCCTTGAGGTTCTCAATCTGCCAATGTATTTAAATAAGGCATAGTTTAATTAAATTATCATATGGTACAGCTATTATGTTTTTACTTGATCCATGAATCCTACTGCAGCATCCGACATTGGCTCTGTTCAATATAAACACAATGAGGGATGTACGGATGATTGATCGCCAATATATAGAATGCAAAATCTATAAGGATAGATTCTTCTTGTTCTTGATTTCTTTTTTTAACTTTAAATTGTTCGGTGCATTCCCATGTTTTTGTCTTGAGCTATTAAGCCTATTATTGAACTGAGGGCAATCACAAGATGGCATTCTTGTAAGAGGCTAACTAGGTCAATTGAATGCAGAACCCTGCATTTGAGGGAAATAGTTTTTTTTTTTTCTTCCCCCGGAAATTGGGGGGAAAAAAAACCTAGTTATTGCAGTAAAAAATGGTATATTTAAGATTGTTTATGTAGATTTGTAATACCAGATAGTCTAGTGTTATAGTGGCCTCACTTCATTCTCAGTTTTGGGGCATGCCCAAGGTTTCAATAGCTAAGTAATTACAACTTCACAATTTAAAGCAAATTTTCACACCTAAACATTTAGGAGTTGTTCAAACATTTATAATAGCTAAGGTTTTAATGCTCAAGGTTTTAATAGCTACTAATTACAAAATAAGCAGCCCATGACAGTTCTCCAGAAGCCCAAACAAAACTGCAGCAGCTTTCCCAGAGAACAAAATAACATTCCATCACAAGGCTAAAACCTACTGAAAGCACCACCAAGGATTGTAGACTAGTGGAATCTCCTGAACCTTTTAAGGTAGAAGGACGAGGGTTCAAGTCCTGTTAGGGTCAAAAAGTGGCGTGTGACAGTGTGAGACAGCTTCGGAGAACTGAAAAAACAATAAAACATACACCCAATGTTTAATCAAAACAATATTGTGCAGCTAAGCTCCTAGCTGCTGTAGAATCCTTGAATTTGAGGGATTAGACCCTACATCTAACATAGTCGCTGATCTGATTAATTAGGCATTGAGCTGAACTGTAGTGGCACAATAAGTGATTTAGTGATTTATTGGGCTGAGTATACTATATATAATGGTGGTCAGTTTATTATGCTACCTTAATGATGCACACCTTCGGCACAACAATTATAGCTTAATCATTATTTTCAATAGGTTCAGCACTAAAATAGGGTTGGAACTACATAACACTCATCAGTACATCTCCAATGATGGCTTGAAAGTTCTTGTGGATATCTGACATGCTAAGAGCACATACCACAGTTTTGACCAGTTTTTACAGGCTTCTGTGGTCCTCATGTACAGATTTCTGCCTCTAAGCAATGAAATCAAGATGCTACCTTCGGCTACATTTCAATTTTTTCTCTCAAACTCATGAAATTTTTTAGTCTCCCCACTCCGTTATTCTGGGATTGAACTTGAATATCAGTCTTAGAATTACTTCACTCCGAAGTTAAGGGGCCATTTCATATACATAATACATGGGACTGTAATTTGAAGCCAAATTATATTCCACCAATGGAATTCAAGTCCATTAAGTGGTGTTTGATGCTTGGGATGCATCTGTGGTTGTTGTTGGAAAGAAATGCTTGATTCATCACCCATCAAGAGAGATGCTCATTGCTCAGGCAATGGAGAAGAAGATAAAAATTCGAATTTTACTGGAAGTAGAATGGAAATTTTTTTAATAGAAGTTTCTCGAGTCTAGACAAAAACACTCCAAGGGAGTTGCACTATCAGATTAAAAATAGTGCTTTCTGAAATATGCATAAGAACAACCATAGAAACAGTCTTTGATGCACACTCCAATCAGACCTAGGAAATCCAGTTGTGACCTTGGTTGTACTAAATCTCACAATGTTAGTACCTTATGATAGCTACAATTAATCTCCTAAATAGATGATATTTCCAAGTGCAAACTCAGGTGGCATGTTATGTTACTGATCAAGTTTCTTTGTAAACAATGGCTCAGAGAGCATTAAGCGGTGAAAATCAAGTAAAAATGTTCAAATTATTGCTATTGCATTGCAAAAGAAAATAGAAAGATAGCTAAAAGTATAGGAAATCAGATAGTACTATAATTCAATGTATTAGTACACTTTTTGCATACAATTGCAGTCTGGTACATTTGCAAATCCTTTAAAATTTGGAAGCAATGACCAATATGCTTTGTACAAAAAATTTTGTCGTCTCAATTTAGTTAGTGAGAACAGTAAGCAGAGAGACTCTGTACTGGATTAGACGTCTAAACACGAAATCTAGTCCGGCCTCAAGACTATCCATGCCAGCAGCAAGTATCTCCATCTTCCTCTGCACCAGTTGAAATTCTGCCTTCACACCATTGTTTTGCACATGCCCATATAGAGCACAAAGAGCAACATCTACACTCCCCACCTCATTGATCATCTTCTGTCGTTTCTCGTGAACAGCCAATCCGGTAGGCATCAGTTTGGATATCAATGACCACCCACCAAGCTTGCTCTTCATCACTGGCATAGACAAGAATAGCAAGAGAGATCGAAAAACGCATATGGCTATAGTGCTAACTTCTCTTGGCAATCTGACCACCATTGACAAGTGATCATCCAAGACTAAGACAGGAAATGATCCTGTTTTGCTTTCCATTTGCTTCAATGCTCTGATGCACTTGGAGATGTCTTTTTTAGCCTTCTTCTTGAAGGTAATGTAAGCACCAATACTACATTCAATGCTTGATTCTGCAGCCCTCCTTCGTAAAGCTGATTGAAGGTGCTGCAAATGCTCCTTCATCAACGACAACATGTCCCGTGCAGTGCCACATGTGTCCAGCAATGTCACTGAACAATCTAGTGCCTCTTCCACTACTTTTTCGTCTTGATGACGAATAAGAGCTTGTTGAGTGAGTGGAGCACTAATGAGTTCCACAACACGAGTATACAACTCCGGGAGCCCAACTAGACCTTTTTGAATAGTGTCGGCTCCTATTGCCTCTGTTGCAGACACTGATGATGCTTGCCATGCTTTGAGCTTGTCTAACTCGTCTTCAATTTTGACAGAAGTGGGCTGCAACCTGGAGGGCAAGCTGATGGACCTCACAGGAGGCAATGCAGATGAGCCTGCCATTGTTGTTGTATTTCAAATGCTGAAAAAACTCAGTACACACAGTCAAGCTTTGAGTAACAATGATTATCTTCAATCTATATATAGGAGCACAATGAAGGCAAACACTGAATTATTGGTGCCAACTGCCAAGGCAGCATATATGCATGTGATGCCAAGGTGGGCATCCATAATGTACTCAAATTGTAACATTTTCCGCCAACAACATGCAAGATTGAATTATTTGTGTAATGTTGTGGTCATGAAATAAGCAACGTAGAAATTCGATAACATTTTACAATGAATATGAAAAACAACAGCAGCAAGATGCCATTAGTGCTTGTGCGTTTCTTTGTTCTTCTTTTTCTCGACCACATTTCTAACATATTCTTAGAATAATTCAGAGAGTGAAATCATATCAGACAACAGCACACTAAGGATGACATATTCATGAATTTCTTGATTCAAAGAACCATAGTTGAATACCACCAAAATATTAATTTTTAGCAGTAGATTGCTATTTGTCTAGTGGACATAAGATTTATATCTACTCCTATTTGATTTATCTCACAATGTCAGTGAAAAAAAAAAAAAAATCATAAAAAAAGAAAATTATCACTTGGAACAATATATGGTTGCAGAAAGATTGGTGTACATAGGAGACAAGGGGCAACAAGGTAATGGATATTCTTATCTTCTATTGTCTTGGAAATTGATGTTAGCCTAATGCGAAAAAAGGAAGGTGAAACAAACGAAAACACAGCATTGGTATTTCACATGCTCATCAAAACCATGAGGAGACCATGATTCTCCTTGTCTCTGATGTTTTTCTTGGTATCTCCAATATAAAAAAAGGTGGTACATTATACTTATAAATTATAATACACATCCAAATTATATTCATCGACCGTGAGAATTTTTTTTTTTTTTTTTATGGTTGCACTTCTTGACTTGCATGTCCATAAATGTGAATCACAACAATTTTAAGAGTTTTTATTTTTATTTTTACTTTTACTTTTACTGTTCATTGTTAGAGTAGCCGTTACTACATTGATGGAAATCGTAAAAACACCAAAGTAAATAAAAATGAAAAAAACAATTGTAACCCATGAAATAAAAATATTTATTAATTTTTTTTTTTTCAACAATAAAAATAACTTAGATAAATTGTGTCTGAAAATATTTGGTATGGCTTGGGTTAACTTACCCATTTTATACCAAACCTGTTTGTGACCCATTATAAATGGGCTGATAATAGGTTATTGAACCATTACTCACTTGTCCATTCATGATCAGTCCAAAATTCATCCAAACTCACCTAATTGTCACCAATGTTTTGTTTTGCACAGTGTTAAAACGTTTCGTAAATAGTGGTAAAAAATCGAAGTACCAATTTGGTGTTTTTGCATGTTTCATCACTGTAGTAACAGGTACTCTAGCAATGAACAATTAAAAAAAAAAATTTAACTCTTACAATTGTTCTGATTCACATTTATGGGCATGCAAGTCAAGAAGTACTTTATACCTGACACAGTCACTTAAATTTGAATATCCAAATAATTTAATTTTCACTGCATTAATTCTAGTTCTTATCACACACAGACTCTAGTGGGCTGAGTTCTGGCAACTCTTCTGGAAGATTTATCTAAATAATTTAATTTTAATGAACAAATTTGCGATTTAATATATCTTGACATAAATTATCACCCTTTAAGGGTAAAAAAAAAATTACCATATGAGACTCTAAACTTACTATTGATAAGAGGAGTGGTGCAACAAACATTTAAGCTACCAAGCTATAATTATAGTTGACAGTTTCACTGCATTAATTCTAGTTACTAAAATCTTCCAGAAGAGTTGCCAGAACTCAGCCCACTAAAGTCTGTGTGTCATAAGAACTAGAACAGTATTTTGGCATTTTGAAAATAATTTATAGTAAAATGTGGGACATGAGTCTTAGAAGTTCTTTAAAGTCCAATTATATGGGACAATTTATAGTGTAGAGATTTTTAGAAGAGTAGAAAGTTCGTAACTAAGGATATTTGGGTTGAGAATTCTATAAATTAGAGGAAAATGCTTATAGACTTTTATTTGTCAGGTGAAGTTACAAAGCAGAACAAGGTGAAAGTAAGAAGGTAGGTAGATGCTAGATAGATAAGATAGACCCTAAAAAAATACCATAAAAAAGCAAATGTTGATGTATCATCATTAGCTTTACTGTTGGCCTCTAAAACGTTACGTAATATGGTTAAACTCAACAAAAATATACATATAAAAAGTAAATGTAAGTATCATCCTTAGTTTCACTGTTGGCCTCTAAACAAACTCAAACTTCCATTATTCAATTTGACTGAAACCATTAAAGTTTTTGGATTTTCTTGTGAAATCTATTTGATTAAATAATTAAACTTGTTTCATTAAAACAATATATTGATGTTTAAAAAAATATATATGAAAATCAAAAAAGAAAATTTGTCCACATCTTGAAGAATACATCAGAAATGAGTTATGAATTTTTATTTATTACCAGTATGATGTGAAGTTATAAAGATAAAATTCTTTTACAAATATTCAAATTATATATATGGTATGAAAATTTTCTCAAGTCAGTCAAATTTTTGTAAATTCTTTCCAAATTTAAATTTTGGTATATCATCCAAATTTTACAGGACAGCTAAATTTCAAATTCCAAATTCAGCAAAAAAAAAAAAAAAAAATGAAGCTTCAATGTTTTTTTTTTAATTAATTTGGAATAAGTTCATGTAGATGATATTTAAAAAATAAAAAAATGGTGTTTTGGTGGTCAAATGCCAAAAAAATGAAGCCAAACTCAAGTTTTCCAAATTAATAAAGCTTTATTAATTGCTGACTTAGACATAGAAATTTAGTGTTGATTTTTTTTTAATTCCTAAACTGCCCTATTACAAAATGACCCAATTACCCATTTAATAAGAAATTTCCATGGAGCGATTGGCTGAAAATGTCAAACCCATAACTAAGACCATCCAATCATCATCACAAATCCCAATATCACAATTGCAACAACAACAACAACAATTTGCATCATTTCTTGAAAGCCCACACATGTCCCTAAAAGCTAGAGTCCTTTGTAAAATTTTCAGCAGCGTTGCATTTCAACCCCTATCTAAAATTGTCAAAGAGGTTATCACGCTACCATATGATTCTCCGATGGCTGCAGCGAGAGAGGAGGTGGTGCCAGCAAGGTGACAGCAAATGATTTAGTAGTGGTGTTGGGTATTAGAGGTGGTGGTTTTGTTGGCCAACAAATCAGTGGTGGTGATATTCTTTCGATCAATTTTTAGTGTTTTCTTTTCTTTTTTTTTTTATTAATAATTTTGATCATTTTTTTAGTGTATTTTTTTAATTCGACCCTAGGGTTAAGATTTTTGTGGTATACACTAGATGGTGGTGATGATGGAGAGAAATAGAGACGGGGGCGGGGCGGGGTAGGGCGGGGCGGGGGACTGGTGGTGATAAGATAGATAGAGATAAAGTGTAGAGTGGCAACAATATTGGTGGAGTGATTATGTTTTAAGTTTCTCGTGATAATAAATCCTTTGAGAACAGAGTGTTTCTGAGATAGAGGAAGGGATAGTCTAGTCCTTCAAGGTCAAACTTAGATTCGCCTCAGGGCAGTTTAGGAATTAACAGAAAATCTAGTGTAAACTTTCATGTCCAAGGTAGCATTTGATAAAATTTCATTAATTTGAAAAACTTGAGTTTGACTCCACTTTTTTGACATTTGACCACCAAAACACCATTTTTTTTAGAATTATCCCGTAAGTTTACACCTTTTGAAAATATATGGAGCTAGGCAGATGGTATTGTTTTTATGATACACTCATAACCAAACATACCATTTACCACCAATGTAACAAATGAATATAATATGTAGAGACATGAATCTTATATATATATATATATATATTTCGCTCTCTCTCATGTTGGATGTTCTTATGCAATAATTATTTTTATTCATTTAACAAGCAGGTTTCATCAAATAAAAAACTGAATTGATCACAAAAATAATTAAATCAACCAATAAAATCTAACTCAAACTTAACTTACATCATAAAAGAAAAGAGTACCACACAGATTGATTTTCACTATATTCCCAGTGCTGTAATAGATTTATTTATTTATTTTGAAACGTATTTATGAAAAACTTTTTTGATCATTTAAAAAAAATCCAAACTAAAGGCTGTAGGAATTAATAATAATTGAACCGCCAACCATTAATCTAAAACAAGCACTATAATAGATCCCAGTGGTGTAGAGAATTATGAAGTGTTTAAAAGATTTGGATCATTCTATAACATTGGAGATTTATTAGAGATTTATTGAGTGTAGAGATTTGTAGATGATTAAGGAGTTCTATAATGTTTGCAAATATTTAAGATATTTGGATGGAGAATTCTATATATTATATTTTAGTTAGTGCATATATATAAGGCGAGTTTCTTATGTAATTACAAAACAAATAGAAAGAAATAGGCTTAAATGAGAGAGAAAATGTTCAAACATTGTTGACTTCCAAAACGGAACATATTGATGATTTTTTTTTTTTTTAATGATTATAATTTTTTTATAAAAATTAATAAATAATAATGAAAGAAATAAATAAAAATTCATACTATATAACAGGTGAAAATAATAATAATAATAAAATAAAATTATTAATCATACTATATATATATATATATATATATATATATATATTATATAGCATATTTTAACATTTTTGACCCATAATTTATATAATATTTGGAAATAATAAACAAATATTTTTATTTTAAAATTATTAAGATAAATATTAGTTTTGGACCTTTTGGTGTATCATTTTACCAAAAAGACCGTGGTGAATCAGTTACGGCTATGCGAGTGTGGCTTGGCCCAGTGGTTTGGGTTTTTTTCAGTGGTTGCAATGACTCGAGTTCGATTCCCAACCCAATCAATCCCCCTTCCCTCTAACTTCTAATTACCTAACCTAAAAAATTCAACAC